TTAATATTTTATCATATAATAGTGTAGCCAGTTAGCGCCCCGGGTCATTGGGTAATAGGCGCTTGTGCTGTTAATTAATATTTTATTATTTCGCAGAGTGGCCAGTTAGCGCCCCGGGTCATTGGGTGATAGGCGCTTGTGTTATTAAAAATTATTGACTTAACAGAGTGGCCAGTTAGCGCCCCGGGTCATTGGGTAATAGGCACTTGTGTTATTAATATTACAATTTTGAATTTCCGCTTATGTCTTTGGCAATGCCCCTTTACTACTGTGCTGTCTGCTCAACGGAATATTCTCCCTAGATCGTACAGCTATATATACGATCTAGGGAAAAAGTTCCGATATTGAATCCGCCTCACCCAACGCTGGCTACCCAGTGTTGGGTGAGGAGGATATGATTTTGCATTTTTATCACTAGGACCTATATATAGCTACAGATCCTAGTGAGAAAATTGTAAAAGCTGAATAGGAGGGGGGAGGAGGCCAGTGGTTCTCCCCAAATGTGACTAGCAAACTTGTGGGAAATTCAAATATGCAATGTATTGCAAGCATCAAATACCCAGATAACTCGACACAATTACATGCACAAAAACTTAATAAACTAATCCCAAGCCATTTAACTCAATAACTCAATGGGCCAATAAGCAGCCTCATGAGTTTGAATAAATAATAAAATTTATTAATTAACAAAGCAAGCGCCAATCCCCACACGACCCAAGGCACTAACTGGTTGCTTTAATTATTTATGATTTATAAAATAATACTGCAAGCACCTATCCCCACACAACAAAAGGCACTTACTGGTCGTTTACTTAAATTACTATTAATAATACAATAACGCAAATCCTAACACAACCAGGGGTGGTAACTGGTCACTATAAATATTTAAAATCAATTGAATAATGCAAGCCTCTCGGGTCATGTGGGGATTAGCGTTCACATTAATTTATTTATTGTAAATAATCAAAGCAACCAGTAGGCGCCCCAGGTTATGAGGGAATAGGTGCTTGCATCATAATTTTATTCATAGTAAATTAAGTAAGCGACCAGTAAGCTCCTCCGGTTGTGTGGGGATAGGTGCTTGCGTTATTATTTTATTTATAGTAATTTAAGTTAGCAACCAGTAAGTTTCTCTGGTCGTGTGGGGATAGGCGCTTGCGGTATTATTTTATTAATCATAAATAATTAAAGCAACCAGTAAGTGCCTTGGGTCGTGTGGGGATAAGTGCTTGCGGTATTATTTTATTAATCATAAATAATT